CCACTGTCACTGGCCAATTGTGACTGGCCCACTGTCACTAACCCACTGTCACTGGCCCACTGTCACTGGCCCACTGTCACTAGCCCACTGTCACTAGCCAATTGTGACTGGCATTCCCCAAGCCGTGGTACCGGGGGTCAGAATACTCAGCCAGGACTCTCTCAGCTCTCAACAAGCCCAGTGATCCGAGAGTTTGCCGGCACGCTGTGCTGTCGGCGACAGATGTGCCTCTCCTCCAGTCGTTGTGGGGCTGTGGCCCGTGTGACATATCTCAGTCAGGGGGAGGTACCGTAGCTCCTCTTCCTCATTCTCCACTGCGTGCAGTGCACACACGACCATCTGTTCCAAATAAAAAAATAAATGGTATTCCCAAATTTAAAGGTTTTGTAAAACAGCACTCATATTTTCATGTAAATTAGGCTGAGGGTTAGAATGTGAGCTTTTGCATTATTCAGCTCTCGGGAGAGAGACCTGCCATCACCCAGCTGGTTTTGCAATCAATAGTCAAGAGGCTTCAGGGGTTCAGAGGGAATCCTGATAGCTGCCCACATGTCCCATAAAACTGTGATTACAAGGAGATATTGTACTGAAACAAACCTGGCAAACCAGGAGAGTGCTATATAAGTGTAAGGGATTATTACTATGATTAGGTTTACAAGTGATAAAAGTCAGAACTGGCTGTGGAGGTCTTATTAGAGGGGATTGTGAAGAACTGTTTTACTCGTTTAAGTTTGAAGGAAGAGTGGGGCAAAACACATTCAAATAAATGGGAAGTATAGTGAAACATGATAATGGGGATTTGGGTTTAAAATCACTTTTAAGTACATTATTCTGTGAACTTACTGATCCCTCATATTCACACTCCTATTATGATTTTAGATTATTTTCTAACCAGAATGTTATTTTATAACAAGAGCTTTAGACCATTATGTGTTTTAGGAAATACCTTGTATCTTAGTCAAACAGTATACCTGTATCTGTGAGAGGAGATAAGGCTCTTACAAATAATTAGGTCCTGCGATATTAAGGAAAGAGAAGACATTTGCTTGCTTTTGCACAGATGTTTATCTGCTTGGACTTCCATGCATTTTGTAACTGCCTCTTATGGTTTTTCTGAAAGTGAAAACAAGAAATTCTAACAGTTCCTTATTCTTGAGAATAACGTATTTTCCCACGTTTTTAAATTCCAAATGTATCTATCACATTTCCTTCATTTTCAGCCCTGAGGGTGTGTATATATAAAGTATCAACAGAAGAGATGGATTTAATGTTTTTTAAAAAATATTGCATTACATTAAAAGGTGAAACAGTTTTTCTCAGAAGTCAGTAACTGATATTAAAGAATGGGAGAGAAATTGAATCATAATTTGGGCGGATTAACAGATAACTGACTTTAAAAAATATTGTTTTTCTCACTTAAATGAATCACGAAATTGTTGCTGTTAAAAGATTTTATCCTAAAATTAAAAAATATAGAAGAAACCACAAACTCTAAAATTCTTTCCTTTAGTATTTTTTTGTGATTTTATGCCAACAAATATATTGATTATTGATCCTGGGACGGTGATGTATTTCCTTCTGCTCATTAGTAACATAGTAAATTTGGAGTTTGTGGACAGTTCTTCATTTGAATTTAAGGATATTGACAATGCGTACCTGCACTTCCAAAGTACTCAGAATTTGTGTAAATGGGTTGTGCTATATTTTAGAAATATTTTTCCTTGATCACGGTTATCTGATACAGTGTGTGAGAAGTCTGAGTGAGTACTGAGGAGCGTAATTCCTCCTACCAGACACTTTCA